GACTTCTTCACTATCCTATCTACCTGCGACTCCATTTTTAAGGAACTATGAAGTTGCATTCCAAGGTCTCCTTGTTCAGCAACACTCCCCAGGACCTTACTATTAAGTGTCTAAGTCCTGCCCTGATTTGCCTTTCCAAAATGCAGCACCTCACATTTATCCAAATTAAAATCCATCTGCCACTCCTCAGCCCATTGACCCATTGGATTAAGATCCCATTGTACTCTGAGGTAACCTTCTTCGCTGTCCACTACACCTCCAATTTTGGTGCCTTCTGCAAACTTACTAACTTTACCTCCTATGTTCCCATCCTAATCATTTATATACATGAAGAAAAGCAGCGGACCCAGCACCGATTCTTGTCGCACACCGCTGATCACAGGTCTCCAGTCTGAAAAGCAACCCTCCACAACCACCCTCTGTCTTCTACCTTCGAGCCAGTTCTATATCCAAATGGCTAATTCTCTGTATATTCCATGTGATCTAACCTTGCTAAATAGTGTACCGTGAGGAATCTTGTCAAACATCTTACTAAAGTCCATATGGAGTACTGCCCTCAGCAGACCAAAATGCCACTTGGTTGTCAAAAACCCAGCCCATGCAGTATTGGCCTTAAAGATGAAGATGGTCCCTTGAGGTATGAGTGGGTGACAAACATCCATGCATCACCACAACAAGAGACAGTTTAAGCACAGAAACAAACTTAAAGATAATCAAATCTTTTTAACCATTTAATGCCCCAATAGCTGTGGAAGTCCTAGAAAGGCAAACATGCTTATTTAAATATTACCTGTCGCAACCCAGAACCTTCTAAAATACCTTGCAATAATTTTTGAAATACAGTGATGGTTGTAAATTTGGAAATACCTCAGACATTTTGTGTGCAGCCAGCTCCCATAACAACAGCAATGATGAGATAATCTGTTTTGCTGAGGGAAAAACATTCGTCAAGACCTTAGAAATAGCTCCTGTTTTTCTCCAAGACATGGTAAAACATCCTAAAAATGAGCAACTCTCAAACAAAATTGGATCCCAATTAGAATATATTAGTATAGATGATCAAAAGCTTGATCAAAGAAGTTTCATGGAATGAATTAAAGAAGGTAAACTTGATAAAATGGTTGAAAGCTTTAGGGAGGAAATTCCATAGTTCTGGGCTGCCAGTGGTAAAATGATTAAAATGGAAGATGAAGAAGTCATTATTCGAGGAGTAAAGCAATCTTGGAGGAATATATGGCTGGAAGAGATTATAAAGATAGGGCAAAATGAGGCCATGGATAGTTGTCAGCAGTCAGGGCACTGGTGTCATGGCAATTTCACTTGTCTCATAGTCCAGAGATCTAGGCTAATATTCTAGGTTCAAGTCTCACACAACAGCTGGTAGAATTTGAATTCAATGAATTAATTTGAAAAAAAAGTGGAATTAAAGCTAATCTCAAGTAATGGTAATCATCACTGATTGCAGTGAAAAACCACATGGTTCACTAAGAAGTGTTCTTTTATGTTCTTTAAGAAGGGAAATCTGTTCTTACCCAGTGAAGCCTACATGTGACTCCAAGTCCACAGCAATGTGGTTGACTCTTAAATATGTTCAAAGATAATTAGGGAGCATTTGAGGGCATCACCCACATCTCACAAAAGAATGAATCAAAATCTCAGCGACCTATATGTTCAGACATGGTGGCCAGTTTCCATTTGGTGATTACATAGTGGTCATGAGGAACAAGACTGCAAACATCCCAAATAGAGCCAGCCTCTTCTTTACAGAATCACACAATTGTTTTAGGAGGTCATTCAGCTTATCCCATTTGTGCTGGCTCTCTGAATTAGCATTCTTATTATTGCCATTATCTTGCCTTCTCCCTGTAACGTTATAACTTGTCCTTTTTCAAATAACAGTTTAACTTTCTTCTGGATGCAGCTTTTTTTACCTCCCTCTACCCCACTCTCATACAGTGTATTCCAGACCTAATTATTCACTCTGAAAAAGAAAGTTTTTCTTCAGTCACTTTTGCTTCTTCTGTCATTTATTTTCAATGTGTCTTCTTATCCTTGATCTTTTCACAAGCAGGAGGAATCGCTCCCTATTCACTTTTTCCAGATTCCCTATGATTCTGAATACCTTCTCCTCTCAGTGTTCCATTCTCCAATGAAAACAGTCCTAACTTCCCCAATTTACTTTCATTACTGAAAATCTTCATCACTGAAAGCATTGCCATCAATCTCTTCTGCATATTCTCCAGTGCTTTCACGTCCGTCCTAAAGTGCAATGCCCAGAACTGTTAGAAATGCTCGAGTTGAGGGTGAACCAGTGTCTTACATACATTGTGCAGGGCTGGATGAACACAGCAGGCCAAGCAGCATCATAGGAGCAGAGAGGCTGACGTTTCGGGCCTAGACCCTTCATCAGAAAAAGCATCTGCAGTTCCTACTATCTCTTACATACATTGCTGTTTAAACTCATCTTCACCCTCCCTGCAATATTCATGCACTCAGAGGGCAGAATCAGGCTATAGTCCAGAAAACCATGGGAACAAATATTACTTCAAGATCAAGTGAAATGGAGAATTGCTGAAATAAAAAAAATTAAAACTTTGTCTTGCACTCATCAGGACAATTCACAAGAAATACCAATGTAATGGGAAAATGACTGGCTTGTGGTCAACGTTACCGTTAAGTGGAACACTGCACTCGCAAAATTCAAGCGCACTTATTACTTGAAAAGATTAATAATGTCTTTGAATTACTTTTACAGCCTAATGGTAACATTTACATCATCTAACCACAAGCCTTCTCTCCCCTACTGAAGGAAACAAATGAGAGAAGTTGCAAATGTATGCATAGAGCATACATATGGAATAGCTTAAATGTTCTGAGTGTCCTGAAGATTTCCTTTCAACAAACAATTCTTTACCTTGGTTCTTTTTCTATCCAAATAAAAGGCTTGAACTGTACTTGCACAAATGTATCACCGGGCCATTTATTATGTCACTCTGCCCTTTTAAGCACATGTTCCAAAGGTAAACATTTATTGTGGTGAGGTAGTGGCACAATGGTAATGTCATAGAATCATAGAGCATTGAAACAGACCCTTCAGTCCAATGCAAACTAAACTCGTTCCACTTGCCTGCATTTGGCCCATATTCCTCCCAACATTTCCTATTCATGTTCCTATCCAAATGTCTTTTAAATGTTGTAATCGTACCCGCAACTACCACTTCCTCTGGCAGTTCATTCCACATACAAACCACCGTCTGTGTGAAAAAGTTGCCCCTCAGGTTCCTTTTAAATCTTTCTCCTCTCACCTTAAAAATATGCTCCTTAGTTTTAAACTCACCAACCCTAGGAAAAGACCTTTGCCATTCACCTTATCTACGCCTCTCATAATTGTGTAAATCTCTATAAGATCACCCCTCAACCTCCTACACTCCAGTGAAACAAATCCCAGCCTATCTTTATAATTCAAACCGTCCAGTCCTGGCAACATCCTGGTGAATCTTTTCTGAACCCTCTCCAATTTAATATCCTTCCTATAGCAGGGTGACCAGAACTATCACCGTACTCCAGAAGTGGCCTAACCAATGTCCTGTACAACCTCAACATGGCATCCCCACTCCTATACTCAATGGTCTGATCAATGAAGGCAAGTGTGCTAAACACCATTTAAATTACCCTGCCTACAGGTGAAACAATTTTCAAAGAATTATGTACCTGAACTCCTAGGTCTCTCTGTTTGACAACACTATCCATTCTTGAGGTTAAGGTTAGTTAGCACAGTTGGCCAGAATTAGAGAATGGTATAGAATAACACCAACAACACAGGTTTAATCCCCACACTGACTCTGGCAATTCAGGGAGGCTCTTCAATCTCACCTTGCCCCCATGCTGTGTGCAGTGGTTACACTCACACTATAGCTAACCAACTGTCTCTCTCTAATGGAGAGTGATATCTACAGTCTTTTGAGGGCCATGACTCTATATTCTCAAGGCAATCAATCTTCTATCTCATGCTTCTCTGGTGCCGGTCTTCCTCCTGGCTGGGGGAAAATGGAACTTTCCTCATCCCTTGAAGGGATGGGCCACCTGGAGGGAGGTCAACGTCCTCACAAACCCCCACCCTTACCTAGCCAGTGAATGAATGCATCCATGGCTCAAGATGTAGAGTGAGGCTCCTAAACTTACCTAGATCACTTAGCCTAGAAACTCAGAACCTCCTATGCTAGCGTCTTGGGGTTCAAATCCCATACTAGCAACGGATAAAATTTGAAATCAATAAGACAAAATCTAATGGCAACCATTTAAATATAAACATTGTCAATTTTCATTTAAAAAACCATGTGGGTTATCAATGCCGTTTAGGGAAAGAAATCTGACCCACGAGACTCCAGACACACAACAATGTGGGTGACTTTTAACTGCCCTCTGGACAATTCGGGATCCCACAAATATGTATTTTTTTAACCTGCATTTGTAGAGAGCGCAAAAGAAAACAAAACATAAAGTGCAGAAAAGAAAACACTGGTCTAGCAACATCTGTGGGATGAGTTAACGTTTTGAGTCCGATGTGACTACTCCGGGGGTTATATCTTGAAGAGAATTTTGCTTTCATGTCGTTATTCTTTGCAAATTGTCCTGATAAGTGCAGGGTGAAAAACTCTGACAAGACGCATCTCCGCTCAGCAATACTCAAATTCTGCGTCAACAAACCAGTTACTGTGGCAAATACGACAATCCCAAAAATAGCTCGTAAACTCAATTTTAAGTACGTTTCTGACTGCAGGATTTTGCATATAACGTGCCCGAACAACCCCTGCCTCTCCCAAGTGGAAAGGTTTAGAGGGCTAGTAATATATATTTAAAAAAACGCTATTTAAATGATCTGAAGTGAACCCGCTCCCACTCGAATTCACGCCACTACCGTCCGTTGTGCCGCTCAAGCTAAAGAACCCACCCTCTTCCCCCCTTCCGTCCCCAATTAGCTGAAACTATCACCATACGACCTCTTTATTGGGTAGAAGCGGCACTTCCTTCCCCGCCCTTGTAAGACAGGCTCTGCCTGGAACTAGCCATTCGCTGGATGGGATCGCCCCAACCGGGGAAATGATTGGCTTACAGCTGGGAAGCGGTGACGATTGACATCATGGGTGGCCAGTGAACGATACAGCTCTAATGATTGACGGATCAGATGTCAAGTAAAAGCGCGTCTTACGACGCTTGACGTCCCTGGCTGGTCAATCGGCTCCGTTGCTGAGCCTCGCGCTGAGTTTCATAACGGTCAGTGCACGCTGTCTCGTGCTGGACACGTGTGCAGTTCAAAGACGGTTCCTAGTGGAGCCATGGTCAATGGGCTGGACGTAGTCAAGTGAGAGCATTGGAGTACAGATGAAATGTCAAGCTGTGGAGGAATACAGTGACTAAACTCATTTCTTTTGTATATACAGCTTCAGGAAAATTCTGCTCTGGAGCTTTCATGCCACAATATTGACATTCTGTATTGCCCTCTGAGGTTACCATAAAGATCCAGCATTCTGAACCTCGACCTTTGTCTCAAGGTGACCCTCAGATTAAACTCATTTCCAGTCGTCGCTCTCTGTAATGAGAGAGCAATCCCTGGGTTCTCTGGGACTATGACAACTTTTATCATTAGCTACTATTCTTCAACCATGTCCTGATTCCATAATCATCTCAGCTACAACTGAGATTACACGTGTCAGAAGTTTGATTTTCTGATGTCCAGTCCAATGTCAATTTGGGTTCATGGTATCCAAGGAGTTTTTATCACTTGGACTTTTGCATCTAGCTGCTGCCAAGCACCCAGCCTCCTGCTACTGGCCTCCTAATCCCAATCTTTCAGACAGTGTTTCCCAATCTTTTTTCCCACTGTGGCCCCAGTTTGAGGTTTGAAAACTGTCATGATTCATCAGTGAGAATTGAGAAGATGGGAGGCTTAAGGAGGGGTGTAGTGTGCATAGTGTAGAACTATCAGAGCAGAGGAGGGTTAAAGGAGTTCGACAGAGGCCGTTGTCCTATTACTCCAAAGTTTGCTTACATCAGAATCTATCACATATTATGTATCTCCTGGAAATAAGTTAGTCCTAAGCATGGAATCATCAAATCTATTGTTTAACGTGCAGTGTGATACTTACGTAAGAATTGCAGGGACTGTTGGTCTGCAGGAAATCATTTATGGGCATTTTGGACCAGGAAAGTTCCAAAGCTAGGATTGAGAGGAGTGACCACTTACTCAGATATAAACTGTCACATTATACTTATGTTTACGGTATCTGCTTCTGATGACAAATTACATAACTGAAATATTAACAGTGCTTTCCTCCATCCCTAGAAGCCTCCTTGACCTGCTGAGCATTTCCAGCATTTTCTGTTTATATTTCAGATTTCAAGCATCGACTGCATTGTGCTTTCATGACAAGGTACTCATGAGACAGATATCTTTCTGTGATACCCCAGTGTGATTTTCTGAGTTCTTTTGAAAAGCACTGAGTACAATAGTTCAGCTCCAGCTGTAATTTAGTGTTTAATTCTGTGCACCACACTTTTGGAAGAATGGGAAGGTTTTGGAGAAGGTGCAAAAGAGATTTACCAGAATGGTTCTGGGCAACATTCATTTTCTTTGTGGATGCATGGGTGGTTTGTTTAAGTGCATGGGCCTTTAAAGTTTTTTTTTTTGCAGACACCCCACATGCATGGTAATTTAAAGGGGACAATCACAGTTGTTTGGTGATTTGGGGTTGTCAGACAACAGAACACATTTCAGAGAACATTGCTTCCAGGGATGAGGGATTACGGTTATGTGGAAAAACTGGGAAATTTGGTATTGTTTTCCATTAAGCAGAGAAAATTAGGAGGAGACTTGATGGTGTTGTCTAAAATCATGAAAGGTTTAAATTGAATAACTAAACTGTTTTCAATGGCTACAGGGGGTCATAAACCAAAGGGAATAGATTTATGTCATTTGCAAAATAACCAGAGGTGACAATGATGCAAAATGTTATGTAAGGAATAATTAGGATTTAGATTGCAAGGTAGTAAATGCAGATTCAATAGTCACCTTAAAAGAAAATTGTTTAAATAATTCAGGGAGAAAGAGTGGGATGTGTGTAGAACTAACAAGTTTGTTCTTCAAAAGAGTCATCACATACTTGATGGGCCAAATAGCCTCTCTCTGAGCCATATCAATCCGTTATTCTATGAAAGATCATATTATTGGAATTCACAGTTCACTTCCAGGAAGCTCCTTCAGCTTATTCCACCATTCAATCCTACTCTAGCTGAGAGTGAGATTGATTTTACCCTCAGTGCCCCATGTAAACAAGGGTTTGTTTTCCTAATCGGCTGAATCTACACTGGGTTTTACAAGAGAAACCATATCCAATCGCTTTGAATAAACTTGAGAACTATTAAATACACAGTTCCATGTAATACTTTAATACATTTTAATAAAACATATAACTGTAAGGTTACTTATAGTGACAATTACTCACATGAGGACACATCCAGAAAGATTCACACATGTTACACTAATCAGTTTATTCTGGTAACCAGATCAGGTTTAATATCAGTGGGCTGTTGTGTGTTGTACCTTTTATATTTACATCTTGCAAATGTGATAGAAACTTGTGAACATGTTGTGGTCATTTTAATCAGTCTGAAACACTTTGATGTATTAAGTCATACTATAGAATTTTCTTAAATGAGTCTATGTGATATTATCATTGTTCTTTGCATGGTTTGTACCTTACTACATAATCATTTCTGGTACCTTTTCTATTAGCCATTTGTGTTTAGCCAGTCTTCTGATTATCTGGCCCAGTGCCTAGAACATACCACGTCTGTCAATACGGATTATTTGTCCATTAACATTTGTTCATCAGGTTCTGATCTTGACCTGAATATGGCCCTTAGGACCTGCTTATATTGCAGATTCTTCATTTTAATATATGAAATGTGTGAGGTTTGTTCTGTCATGGGCTGCAACAGTTCAAGATTCAGATCACCATTACTTTCTCATAAATGCTGAACAAATACAAAAAAAAAGGCAGTGCTATAATAGCAATTAAAGATAAAAAGAGCAACTAACACTTGAATCAGTACCATCATTTATGTGGTTTTCTTATTTTGCCCAGGGAAAACAAAAGCTGCAGTACTTATTAATTTACATCATTATTAGCAAGGAGTTGAAAGTACAAGTCATTAAAGTCATGGTTATGATTTTACTTTACAGTGGAAAAGCTCTAGCCTAAACAGAACAGTGTTTACTTTTCTCATAAAGCACATAAAATTTGGTTACTTTGAACTCCAGGAAATCCACAAATGTGATGGTTGGTAGCTTTTCTAAGTACAGTGGAGCAGTTATGATACAAGTACAACTTGAGTAGTTTTGAAGGTAGCAAAAATGAAACTGTGTATAAAAAGGTCCACCAGCTTCAACCAGAAGGAACATTTGGTGTAGGCATTTCTTTTTATTCATTCGTGGACCGTGAGTGTCACTAGCTGGCCAACATTTCTTACATGTCCCTAGTTACCCTTGAGAAGGTGGTTGTCCTTGAGAAAGTGGTGGTGAGCTACCTCCTGGAACTGCTGCAGTCCACCTGCTGATCAATTTCTTATTCTGTATTGAAAAAATTTCAATATTTTATTTACAAGGATTGTAATTTATTTTGAAAGGATAGCTGGACACCAATGTTTAAGTTACGAAGGGAGTTTACATAATCTGTGTTTGTATTCTTTTGAATTTAGGAGGTTAAAAGCTGATTCAATCAGTATTTTCAAATGTGAGGGAGAATTGAGCAGATCAAAGAGGAAAATGATTTCATCTCTTTGGGGAGTTTAGGACTAAGGGATAGAACCTAAAAAAAATGAACCAAACCATTCAGGAGCAAAATTAGAATATATTTCTTCAAAGATGAGGTGGTAGAAGTTTGGAATTCATTTATGCAATCGATGTTAGACCAATTGTTAAAGTTTGAGATTGATAGGTTTCCATTTAGGGATCTGAGTAAAGGTTGGAATTATGGAGTTAGGTTGCCAATCTCATTGAATGGCAGAACAGGCTTGAGGAGATAAGTGGCCTGCTCCAGTTCGTATGTTTTCCATGCTCTGCTGAATTGAATATAGATCCTTGAAATTCTGCTGGCCATCCAACAGCCATTGTGACCTGCTATGGTTGGGCTAGCTCAATACACCACCCTGTACCTAGGATTCTAGAGCTTTGTGATGATAGCAAAATAATTTGAAATCTTGAGCCTCTATTAGGCTCCATTGTGCCATTCCAGGACCCAGATAGACTCCCTGCTGGTAACATCATGAAACAGCCGTGAAGTGAGGGTGGGGATGGTGAGGAGTGACGGAGAAGGAGAGAGATTCAACTCAAGGACTCCATGTGGCTGATGAAGTTAAAGGTTTTTTCTATGGAATATGTGAACAAGGAACAAGAGTAGGTCACTTGACTCTTCAAACCTCTTCTGCCATTCAACAAGATCATGGCTGATCTGATTTTAATCTCAACACTACATTTCTCCATATCCCTGATAATCTTTCATCCTCTTGGTCATCAAAAATCTGTCTAATTCTGCCTTAAAGATATTTAAAGATTCTGCAACCACTGCCTTTTATGGAAGGCAATTCCAAAGATTCACAATCCTCTGAAAAAGATATCTCCTCACCTTTTTTTAAATTGGCACTCCCTCATTTTAAACTATGACAAAGACTATAAATGAGGACATTAAGCATTAACGTTACTTCATTTTTTGAGGGATGTATTTTATCCAAAAATTATTGTCTCAGAATGGCATGTATCCCAGCACACCTTGTTCATTTGTTCTCACTCCCCAGTTCAAATGGTTTTCATAGAGAAAGAAAAGGCATCTTTTGGGCTCAGTCCTGAACTCTAAGCTGGAAAAATGTGGAGAGATAGTAGGAACTGCCGATGCTGGAGAATCTGAGATAACAAGGTGTAGAGCTGGATGAACACAGCAGGCCAAGCAGCATCAGAGGAGCAGGAAAGCTGATGTTTTGGATCTCGAAACGTTCATCCAGCTCTACACCTTG